CTCTCTCTCTCTCTCTCTCTCTCTCTCTCTCTCTCTCTCTCTCTCTCTCTCTCTCTCTCTCTCTCCTTTGTGCTTTTACGTCATGTTTAATATTCACACATAATGATGCGACACATTAGTCATAACTAGAGAAAGAAAAGTCTTCCGTTTCCCCGGAATGATGTTAAATGTCTTTATTAACAGACCGCATTTGTCGCATTCGACATATTGTAATGGTGTAAACGAATTTACATTGTGACAGAGTGCCTTTTTTGTGCATGTTCAATGTATATAGTAATCGATTTTTCACCTAATGAAATTTCCCCTATACATTTAGGTGGAATTATGAAATATTTAATGTCAATTTGCTTTTTAGTGACAAAAATGGAGTTGTCGAAGCTTAACATCAGCTCAATCGCCAAAGAAGAAATACGTCGTAGATTTTTCGACAGTCGTTCCGCAAAGAACAAAACAAGCGATGGGTTGGATAGCTCGGATAAAAAACCGGATGAAGATTTGAAAACTAGTGAGAAGAAAATGCCAGATAAAAATGTAGAGCAAACTGGGGTGCCTGGGCTAGAAGTAGAAACGTCTTCTAGCGAAGACGACGGTTTTCCTTTGATTACGTCGGTATTTTCTTTGGCATTACCTAGCAGTGGAACAGCGCATGAAGGTTGTGGTCCCACTGATAAGACGTGTGTGTCCAGTGATAGAATAAGAAACACTGCAGGAACATCCCAAAGCATGGCGTACACAACTATACCTTCCGCAAGCGATGTCCCTTTACCGTTTGTTGTTAATTGCAGTCCGAATGGCGTCATTACTGTATGTTCTCCGCCTAACCCAACTTCTCCGTCATCTAAATTTAGCGAAGATCACAAAGATTCTACTACGATCACATCAAGTCTTAAGGGGTCCGTATGTAGCATAGTGTCTTCAGATATAACACCGGCAAGCAGCGATCAACAGATGTTTCCAGATACTAGAACTAACTCGCTGCCTAGCTCTACCATGGGTTCAAATCCAAATATGATAACATTTATAGACGCTACACAACAGACTGTTATCCCCGTGGAGAAGCATAGATCCGAAGTTGAAAAATATTTATCAACATGCAAGAGTGAAACATTAAATAAGGGTGATGCTGTCTGTCCAACACATACCAATCAAAATCAGTTACAAAATCCCATTTCTTGTCCTCAAATTGCCATGGCTTCAATCGCCAAAGTTCAGAGTTCACAAGAAGCAAGGAAAGCACAACCACTACAAACTGCTGATACCAACTTGGAAACAACAAGCGTGAAAACATCTTCTAGTGTACTCCCATTAAATCTAGCAGATTCCACTAACGAAAGAGGTTCAACTATAACTGAATCAAGTGAGGCTGAAAAAGAACAAAAAAATGCTACAGATCAGAATACCCTACATCATAGTGACGAAACAGCGACTCATGCAGTTAGTAGTAACGAAAAATATATTGATCAGCTAGTTCCAACAAAGCAAGAGGAAAAAATTCGTCAACTCAAAGATTTACTTCGCCAGAAAGAAGCTGAATTAGAGAAGTTTCGTTTCAAAGATAAAACTGTATCCGTCTCAGCTGCTGCACAGCTGCGAGCAAATTTCCTTAAAAAAAATCCTTCGCTATGTCGGCGAAGTCAGAGGCTGAATACAAACGAAATAACTGCATCAAACAACCAGATTTCAACAGCAGCTTCGAGCAATAAAGATAAGAAATTAGATAAAAGTGATAAGAATGAGCTCACATATATGGAAAAGATTAGTTCTGAGACTAAATCGTATGCGTCTGAAACGAAAATATCCGACAAAGCTGATGTTAAAATTTCAAGCACTTCAAACAAAAAAAGTATTAAATTTACAGACCAAGACAAATATAAACTCGTTAATGTTACCATCTTACAAGGTCACACGAGAACATTGGCAGTTCCTTTAAAGAGTGAAAACATTGCGACTGTATCTACGAGAAACAATATACAAAGCAGACCAAGTCTCTGTAGTAAAGCAACTGAGACAACAACGAGGAAAAGGAAACAGCAGATGCCTAGAAAGGTTGGACCAAGTCCATCGAAACGGAAATCTAATAGCGACGAGGACACAGCAACTCAAACAAGTCCTGTTAAGATATTAAATACAGTTTCTTCAGACTCTAGCGAACCAGACTGTTTTAAAGACGCGGGTCCCACTGGACCCAACACAAGATCAAGTCCCAGAAGAAGAGAAGGACATCAATTGCTTAAAACTATTCCTGTGAAAAGAAAGTCTCCAAGTACCAGTGAATTAAAGACTCAAAATGTATCAGGTGCACCGAAAAAAGTGCCAAAGATTATTTCAACATCTAAAACAGACCCAGCAACAACATCTAACAAATCTGCAACAACACAACCAAGCGCACATCCTGTAAATAGCGCCACAACTATGACCCAAAGCAACATTACATTTAATCTAAAAGATACAAAGCAAGTGACAGCAAGCAACACAACTGGCAAAACAGTTGCGTATGTTCTTCATATGAATGGGACAGGAGCAACCACCACTGTACAAACAAATTCCCACCCTTCCGGCGCGTCTAATGAAGAGATAGTAAAGCGTGTAGTAGAAAGTATGTCAAAAAAGGTTTTTGCGTTCGTTGGCAAAGTGCCAGGGGATGATACTGGTTGTAAAGGGGAATCTAAGAGTAGTAATTCTCCAGTTACCAATCCTTTGCCTGGGACCGAAGTAATACCTCAACGTAATCTTGCAGCAATCAACAACCAATCTAGCCAAAAATCTACACCCATTAATCTTACAAGTGCCACCAACACTTCTGGCAGTCCTAGCAGTACCCAAATAATCCCACCTGTACCATGCAAAGTTCCAGAGCCCATGTTGAGTATTCCTTTATTGAATTTTCAAAATAATAAGATCCGGAATGAATCTATATCAAGCTGTCAAAACAATCAAGTGGTTCAAAACCTCCAAAGTGACACTTCCATATCTAGTCATCAATTGGTGGTGCCTTTGGTAAAGAATATCACAACAGACAAGCCAAACACCTCCGCTCAAAATACTATCGTATCAGTCACTGGTAATGTTACTTCCACAAATACTTCACCGAACTTATCTCTTCCTGTAAGGTTAGGGATAGCGACTAGTCAAATGACTAGTAGAGGCACAGGTCCCGCGTCAATAGTTACTGTACCTACTCCTGCCACCACAGGAAACAATCAAGTCCAAAATACTTCGAACGAGTCTCTGAGCTCTGTTAGTATTAATCCACCAGCAAGTATAGTTTCCAAGAGCCGAATCTCCACTGTTGCTACTGCATCGAACGGCCAGGCCGATAGCAACAACCGCACTGGAAATTCGTCGAAACCCCTGGCTGTGAACACTATTGTGCCTGAAGTTAAAAGCGTACCAACTGCTCTGATGACAAGAACCCTGGCTCCCAAACCTAAGTACACCCTAACCAGTCTTACAGTTCCCATTGCGATAGCAAACAGTGCAACTAATACGAATAACGTTCGCGCTTCACCAACTAAAATAAATGCAAATACTAATCCCACATCTCGCCCCATCGCGCCTAAACCTACAACTCTCCAATACACATCGCATAGATTCCTCGCTCCCAAACCCGCACCAACCCTGTACACATCACCAGCACTTATCTCGCCCAAACCCGCACCCCCTCAAAGAACCACGTTAAAACCTGTTGCCGTTAAACCTACAACAACACAATGCACATCTCCGAAACTCCTTACTCCCAAACCTACATCATCCCAAAACATCGCAACTAAACCCGCAACATCTGAACCACTTAACCAAGTTATTAACATTTTACCTCGACCTGTAATGAGCGTTCCAACCTCATCCTCAACGGCATTTCCTGAAAATCTTAACAATGGGAAGATAGTTGTATATGACGTAGTGCAATCTAACCTAGCCCAAGAGGGACGGAACCCCTCTTTCGCCAATAAGGATACAGCAAAGTTGGTGGTGTTTGTGTCAAATACGGGAGATACCCGAAATCTTGGGATCATCAAGGATAAGAAAATTTATCTCGGTTCAAATGAAGTTGCAACTGTGGCAAATCAACCGAAGGTCAAATCTCCGGTGACGACGAGTACTTCCGAATTTATCCCGAATCCACAAGATGCAGATTTTAAAGTATTATTAGGCTTGGAGCACGTTGTGAAGCTGCTTACGTAATTGTAAGAGTTCCTCGAAACCAATTCACAGATGATCATATTGCCAAAGACTTCGATCAAAGCATATTTTTTTCTTGTGCGTACTCCATTATAGCTTTGTCTTATAGATCCTAACAAGCAAACGAGTTAAGGATCTATGCGTAGACTAAGACCGCGTTACACTATACCGGACAGCTTTCCGTAGCGGCGCGAAAAAGCACCTATCCGATACGGAATGTAAAACTTCAGAAGATGAGCGAAACAACATCTTTCGTTACAATAAATTCCCGGAAAAGCTATCCGGTGCAGTGTAAACGTAGCCTTAAGCCAACTAAGGCTTTGTTATGAATAATTATTAATAACTTACTGACCGGGAGTGAGGGTAGTACGGGAAAATATCCATCTGAGGTCTTTCTGCATTGACCGAGCAATAGCGAGGTCAATACAGCAAGACCGAGGTTGGATATTTTCCCGTACTGCCCCAACGCAACGATTGAGGTCAGTAAGTTTTTTTTTTATTATATGGCATTGTACGTTCGTAAAAAAATGGGAAAAAAGGTCACGCGAGGGCAAAGTCCAAAATAATTGAAAAAAAAAACAAGTTAGTGAAACTACTCTACAGCACTTTTCATAGAATCCTAACCGAGTTTTGGATAGTATTTCAAGAAAAAGACGAGGTATTTAGTCGTATTTAACCAAAGACAACAAATATGAAAACAATAAAGTAAATAAACAACGTCGACAAGTATGTTTTAGTTCTCTTCATTTCATAGTTATGTCTCTTTTTTAACTAACAAAAACAGAAATTTTCACGAAAAAACCCGATAAATCTGTGACTGCTTTAGTTGTATTTTTATTTAGATGGTGTGGAATTCCTCCTGCCCATCTGCAAATAAAACTTGCAGCGCTTCACAAGTTCAAAACACAACTATTCTTGGCTGCTTTAATAGTTAAAAATTGTAAAATTTACCTTGTAATTTAGAATTTCGCTAACAAAAACGTTATTTTAGGTTTATTTCTCTTCGTTTTGAATAGTTTGAAAGACTAGAATTTTTTTGCCGTTTGAAACTCGGCTCTCGTCGCAGGCAATAAAATTAAATTCTGCCTCGTCAGCTAATTGCGCGATTATTCAAAACAAATGCCATTAACATGTATTTAGAGGGCCTGAGCTTTTCGGATGCATGATAAACGAAGGACTTTGCTCGAAATTTCTTTCCAGAGAGACGCAACCTCCTGACAATGGGACGTCGCTTGAAACTAAGTGTTTTTAGTCTTCAAACTGATAGACATCAACCATGGCAGCTCGTTTTACAATACTAAAGGCTGGCCCTAAGATATGGTTTTGAGTTCAGGTTAATAGGGGTTTCGATGGTATTAGCTGTTAGGTTTAGATTTGGGTTCATGTGGGAGTCTGAAGACGTGTTTTATTTGCTTATACTGTATATAGTAGCTCTAAGTTATTGTCTTTAGTTACTGCGAGTGTTTAGTGTGGAAGTAGTTTCATAATGACCTGTGAAGCTTAAAGCCTCTTTTCATTCACAACGGTCAACTCGAAAGCTCGCTGCGAGTGGTTTCAAACAGTCACAATGCTCGACAGCTAATTTTAATTAGATGCAAACATTCGCAGCGAGCTGGCGAGTTGATTTTTGCGATGAGTGGAAAAGAGCCTTTAGTCTGTGTTAATTATGTACAAGATTGAAATTGTTAAATTTATTAATATAATATATTAATTTATATGTTGGACGCTTTGTACATTTCGATGAATTATATATTCTTACATTCTATATAATATCCAATCGTATCAGTTGATATGCTGATGTTGCGTGATAAATTGACGTTACGTTTAAGGGGAAATTTGTTCAAATAGTAAATATTATGTATTTGGTTATATATTTATAAATAAAAATATGAAATCTGTAAACGTGTTCCATCAGTTGCCTCAAATAGACCCGTTTCCACTAAATAATTTGGCATTTTTAATAAATTAAAAAGTCTGAATGAAACATGGAAGGTCAGAACTAGTGATGCAAAATTGCAACATAGGCTTGACGCTGGCAGTGCCTGTTGCCCCCACTATTTAATCCGATCGGATGGCAATGGCTTCCGCGTTTTAGCCGTTGGTCCATATATGAATGCTTTGGTTTTGATGAAGTCTTTGATAGAAGAAACCTTTAGCTTCTACTGCTTTAATTAAAGTTCAGAAAACGAATTCTTGAAATGATGAAAAGGTCGCATTAACGTCCCGTGTTAAATGTTGTCGTTCGACAACTTATTATTTTGATAAACAGTCGAATTTCGTGACTTTCGCATGATAATCTTACTAACGTTATATAATAAGTTTACTTCTTAATTTGTTTAACAAGTTCTGATAGTGCATTGACCACTGCGAATGTAACTTGTTGTTAAAACTGCTGTTGCTGTTCGAGTAAACTCCTTTGGAACTGCTGCTGGCTCATCATTTGGCTCTTCATCAAAGCAATATCTCACGTTCTCGCAACCGACTTTATTCCTCCTACTGATCTTTCTTCCTCCTGCTGATCGTTCTTCAGAGCCAATGATTGCTCCAGTACTTCATAACATTGTTGCTTCTACGCCGTCTCTTCTCAGGGGTGACCAAAATACCTTCATCATCGTTATCCAGCTCTACCTCCATGCTGTGTCTTCGTCTTGTTTCCCCCAGCCGCTCAGTGCCTCGTTTGCTTGTTTTCTCATCTCTTCTGCTGTTGCACGATCTTTCTTTTCTTTACCTTTCACACTCCACAGGCACAGCTAACTCACATTCCATTATCCTTTCCACAATGTCATTTTGTCATTCTCAGTGTACTCCACATCAACTCCACTTAAAATCTCAAATCTTTCTCTCACGGATGTTTGAGTCATTTCCATCCCAAGTTGTGTTAAGTTATCTGCCATAGTTGCCCAAGCTGCAGCCTTTCTTTTGATCCAGAACGAAATTGATATGGCTCAACAACCAAAACTTCTCTAAGCAGAAAATCTTCGTGGTTTTAATTTTGCTTCCAAGTAAAAATTTCTCGCTTGCCTTTTCCGCTTTCACTTACCATCTAAAATAAAATACAAAAAAACAAACTGCACCAAGGCATTTTTAATACCATGGACTGGTGGGGCATTTTCCCCACTGGGCCCCTTCCTCTGCCCCACCACTGAAGAAAAAATATGGTCTATTGCCCCAAAGCCAGAGCCCTAAGACCTATATTAAGTAAATGAGTTTAACATTGAGAAGAAGTTTAAAAAACAAAAATTTGTTGGTGATTATACTTACACTAATGTTGTGTTCAGGGCCGCAGAGAGGGGGGGGGAAGGGGGTGCAAATTGCCCCGAGGTGCTGAGGGCCCCTGAAAATTTTTTGTTGGGCCCCAGTCTTTTTTGTGTGTTAAATATTTCCGCACAAAGGACAAGATATCTGTTTTTGGGCTAAATACCGAAAGTTGGCATGAAAAAATGAGATAAAGTCCCTGGAAAGCAATTGCAACGTCCTCGTCCGGAAAAATTTTTTACCTAAAAAGTTGTCGACGGGCGGAGGGGGTGGAGGGGGGAGGTTGTTCTCCGAAAAAGTTTTTCCGGAAAATTTTTTTAGATAGGGGCCCCTAAAAAAAATTTGACCCGGGCCCCCGCCAACCTCTCGGCGGCCCTGGTTGTGTTTGATGCAATTTATTGCAAATTTCACCATTAAAACTTTGTTTTGAGAATCCGAGATCTTTTTTAAAATGTGTTCTCCCAGAATGCAGGAAATGCTATTTCAGAGACCCAAATTCAAAAAATTTCCTGGGGGAGGCATACCTCCCTAGCTAACTCAATCGTGTCTGCGGTACTCGGCTCACACCTTCGGCGATTGGGTATCCTGGGGCCGGCAAGGAGAGAATGGGCCCTTTGGCAGTTTTGCCCCACAACTGAAGAATCCTTAAAAAATGCACTGAACTGCACGCTTATAAAATTATGACACATACTTTCTAGTCACTGAAAAACACAAATTTAAGTATAAAAAGCACAAGTTTGGCTTATAAACGTAAAGCACAAATAAAATATAAACATTCAAACGCATTTTTTAAATTGTTAAATATTTTTTCACAAAGGAAAACACATTTCAAGATCCACAAATTTAGACATGAATAAATGTTTCATAATATCAAATTAAACGATAAAGCATCCATGTTTGCTTTTTGTTCTTTTGTAAATTGCACGCATATCTGTTTTTTAATTACTTCCGCTATTAATAAAATTAATTTGCGGTAGCGTGTTTGACATAAGAAGATATATTTATTTTAAATAAGAGTAAAAACACAAAGAAAAATCAACTTACCATAACTCCTATGAAGTCGTTGTGTGGACTACGAGTTTTGTCAAAAACTTGCTTCGTACTCAGGTGGGCGACGGCCACGAATTTCCAGGGCCTGACAGGGGGCTCAACTACTGTCAGTAACAAGTGTAAAATAATAAAAATAATAAACTTACTTTAAAAGATTTGCATAAATTCTTCGCAAGAATATCGATAAATATATCATGAATGGAGAAAGAGCAAAAAATGATCTACATGAAGTACTATAGAATCCTCAACAGGTAAGTAATGCGGGGGAGAATGAGGTAATAGCATAATTAATAATAGATAAAGTAATAGAAGGGTTGAAACACCAGTCACGTGATTTTTAAAAATGCTTCTAATTTAACCGTTTCGACATAAGTTGATTATTTTACAATGTATCTAGTAAAGAAATAACACAGATAAACCTTTCATTAAATTATTTTTAACAGCAAGCTTTCTTCGCAATTTTCGCGATATGTGTGTGACGTCATGAAATCCCGAAGCCGCCGTTCGGATAAAGTTCTGCACTGGTGAGATGCTCGGATTTGTACCTATTATAATATTACTAGAAGTTACTATCGCAAGGAAATTGCTGCCTCACCCCCAAGGGATGGCGCTTGAACAACCTTTCGTTTACAGTTAAATATAATCTATCTCTAGAAAATTTTTTTGCTGAATTGTACACTGTGACTTACTTGAATACATCGAAATCATCCGCCTCATATCTCGTCCTGGCAAATTGCGCATGGTTTTTTTAAATTTTTTTAAATATTTTTATTTTAATTTCCCCCCCAAAAAGATGTAAAATATATATTAAGCTATTTACAATATTATATTATTATAAGGGCTAGGAGCCTACTAGAAACCTTGACAGGCTTTTTATTAAGGCCCCTAGATTAGGATTAACTATTTATAGTTTTTGGCACTTCAAAACTTTCAAAACAAAACAATTAATAACTGTAGTCTATAATCTTATATACAAAGTTGATTGTTCAATTGATTATACATAGTAGCAACGTAAATTATACATGTATAACCACTACATAGTACATGTTAACATATATATAATATACGCATATACACACACATATATACATGCATATGTATACATATATATAGTTGCAATGTATACGTATAGAAACTTCAAAAAGTTCAAAATACATGAAATTGGAGTTTAGTCTATTAAGTCTAAGATTAAGTACTGCAGTTTTGTAAGAGGTACTTTTTTTATTGTGGCAATCAGCCTAGTCCCAGTCGTTCTGAAGCAAGCGCGAGAAAAAAGTGGATGTAGTACGAGACTGGGACCTAGGTGTGACGTCACCGCTCAAGGTGCTTCAGAACGCCTAGCAGATTTCAGTATTTTTAATATGGCGGAAAATTTATATACACAAGTAACCTTTTAATTATAAATACGATAATGTTCGTTCATCATGTACATGTTCGATGTCTACATAACCAAATCAAACTGTATTAAAAATGTGCTCAACTAAAAAAATTTATGTACAAATTTACGATACCGAGTTTGAGCAATCGTTGATGTTATTTATGTACTCGCAAGTTGTGATCAACACTACTAGACCATACTGGTATACACAACTACGCTTTCTACTTGACAGGTTTAAATTGCTGATGAGATTGGAAATATTTGCCTGACATGACGGTGTAAAAATATTCATAGTCGGAGACTCGGCATAATTTTCAAGCTTCTAGATAGCATTTAATATGGCTATATATTTTAGTAAACACAAGTCATATTTAGCCCGTTATTCCATTCTGACCGTATGGCCGCGAAACGTAGCCTACTTCATTGTTCCGAGAGCATTAGAGCAAAACTATATGACTTAAGGAAATTTCCATAACATTTTCCATTTACAAATGAGGTATGCTTGGTAACCAGGCCAGGGACCACTTTTTTGAAATCAGGGACCATTTTACCGAAATCTGCTAGGCTCTCTCGCTGAAGCGTTCCGCACAGCACACCCAGGCATAAAACTCTTAAGACTTATTTAAATATATCAAAGCAGCGAATAGAGAGAGAGAGCCTGGGACTAGGCTGGGTGGCAATAATAATCTTCTTGAACTACAATATTTGAGTTCTGTTGCAGGTAAACTACGTGAAGCGTTCCTTTTTTGACTTCGTAACTCATTTGGAATTTTCCTCATTAGGTTTGCAAATTTGAAAAACTCTTTGCAAATCCCTTGAGGGAATTTGCAATGTTCCTATCAGCTGTTGCAATATTCCAATGCAAACAAACTTCATTTTAAATTTTCCTAACTTCCTGTTTTAATTTCCTAACTTCCTGTTCTGTTCTGAGCGTTGTTATTGGTCGATTATTTTTGTTAGCCAATTGCAACGCCCAGAACAGAACAGGAAGTTAGGAACTTGTAACAGGAAGTTAGGAACTTCTAACAGGAACTGAGGAAAATTTAATTGGGTTTTAGCAACATTGCAAATTTTCTCAAGGGATTTGCAAGTGAGTTTTTTAAATTGCAAGAAGATTGCAATCAATTTTGAAACTCAAAAGAGGAACGCTTCGCGTAGTTTACCTGTAACAAGCATTTGAACTTTTGTTTAGCCTAGTGACTTATTCAAATACATAAAAAATCATCCCACCTTCCATCATGTAAACAGCCCTAAGACACCTGTTCAGGAGGCAGGAAAAGTGCAATTTGAATATCAAACACCTTGCACAAGGTCAAAGGTCAGCTAAATATTCTAATTCTACTTTCTTGGCATGGGCAGTCTTATATGAATACTTGAATGTATGCATAACAAGACGCTCTGTG